TGCTATGTTATGATTGTAAGAGTTATCGACGCATGCGCGTTTGCCGATTTCTGCTTATCTTGTTGTCAAGTAGGTTACGTAACGGTGAGATAATTACGATCGCGGCGAGGAGGTCTGTACCTTTGATCTTCGCTCGATGTTACTCCTTCTGTTCTATTTTCTCTATGGTGTAATAGATAAGCATGGTGCTCCGATTGTACAACACGTGCAACGGATTAAACCATGACAGAGGTCATCGAACCAAGCCTAGTTGACCATTGTAATGCTGTGTTGTTTTACAAGCTTTGTAAATACTATTATTGATATGATAATACTCTTAAATAACCGTATTTGACATAATGACTGCCACTATGTGATGTTCGTTGATACTTAATTTACAGAAAAGATAGTCTTCTAACTTAAAGAATGGTAATTCTTTTGTATTTAACTTGTTAAGGATGAAGTAAAGACCATAATTATTAATACACGGTTATAATTGGTTAACTCACAATTTTTAATATAGTAGTTGCATGTTAATGATTATTAACGTAGAGGTTATGCATTAGCAGTAGCTGTATATTGCATTTAGGAAATCACGAATACATTTTGTATTTTTTTTATTGTCTCTGACAGGAGCTATAGCAGACAAAGAATTATGATACATGATTATTATATGGTTCCTTGTGAACCACTGTAATCCAAGGTGGGATAAAGAGTTCTTGTACTTAAGCTTATTATGTATTATCTTACTTTATTTAGCTATGTTATTCATAATGATTCTTTACTTTTTATATTGTTTGTGAATTAAAATAATAATATGCTTCTAGCCTGAATCACAGGACTGATGTTGTTTATAGAGCATGTCTTAAACATGTATTATGGTCATAATGTTAGATTGCCGGGTTTTTAGCACTGAGCTGTAAACAAGCAATAGACAGGATAATTATTTCCTGCTCTGGTAATGTGAATGCACGCGCATATAGTTGTGCATTGGTTAAAGAATAGAGTATGCATTTATTTATGATAAAAACCAAAGGTTCCCATAAAGAAAGATGCAATAACTAATACTATAGGCCAGTTAAGTTTGTACCTCGCAGTTAATTGGTTATATTGTATGTTATGTTTTTACACGATGTTGTGCTATGTTAATCATAGGCTAATGGCTTTTATTATTCTTTTTAGCTTGGCACATTGTGCATACAGTGCCTGGTCAAGTTGGGGGTTTTGTTTTAAGTAACAAGTAATTGTCAGTTTCTGGATTATGGTTTTTTGGCGTTTTCAAACAAATAAACGACAACAGAGAAGTTACATCGTCTCCTGGCTATGTTGTTGTTCTACCTGTGTTACAATAATAATAATAATAATAACATCAATGATGATGATGATAATAATGACGATGGTGTTGACGATAATGGTGGTGGCGATGATGAGGAAGTAGATGATAATAATAAGAAATAACAATGCCCATAAAATAAATTTTAATAATTTTCATCTTAATCTCATAGTTAATGTAATAATTATTTCCTGTTCGCTGTTGGAATTTGTAATTCCCCTAAATGTGAAACACAAAACAAAAACTCATTATAATAACCACAAATCATCTGATAAATCGTCTTTTACATATAAGTTGCTTGATTTAATTCTGTAAACGTGTGAAAATAAATACAATAAATGAATTAGAATTAAATTTTACTTTAATATCATAAAGCGATGTATCTTCTCTGTTGTAATTAAAATAAAGTCAATCCATTACGTTGAATCATAATCTCTACTTTTATATTTTTTATTATTTTACATGATTATTATGGCATAATTTTACGATGAATTATTCAAGAATTATGCCTATTGAAGTTTTTCTCTGGACGGAACAGACGCTATATCCAGACTGCAAACTACAATTCAACTTTACACATCTCAATGAAATCTAGCTTTCTCCAATGACAGAGAGTTAATTTGTTCTCCATTTGTTTAGATTAGTATCCATTATTGTTATTTATTCTGTTCTTTTCTGACACTTATATTCATATTGTAGCAAACATATTCAGTTTTACCCTCAGACTTATGTTTATCTAATCCAGTTTCTGATAATCGAGGAAAATATTGTACTGCAGACCTCTGAACAACTGTAACTATAATAAATAACGATATTAATAGATAATGTTTGTACTTAAAAAAAAACTGTGCATTACTCAAAATTAGGCCTATAGGTTTTAAGTTACTAAATAAATATTATATTGAATTTAAGTTATTTGCAGAACATAACGATCAGACTGGTGGTCTACTTCGTTCTGGAAATCAGAAAAACGTGGATCTCGTTTGCCCATCATAAAATCAGAAAAACGTGGATCCCGTTTGCCCATCATAAAATCAGAAAACCGTGGATCTCTTTTGCCCATCATAAAACTAGTTAGACTAGGATTTCTTTTTGATGTTATGTGTAGAATAACGAAGTTCCTTCTCATTATTATCTTGAAAATCGTTAAATTCATCCGCAATGACCCTCTTGCCAAAGGGAAAACCTCCGTGTAACACTGGCAATGCATCTTTCCAGTTTGGAGAAGTGGCATTAGCCTTCTTTGATGAGAATCCAATTGGCCTCTGAAATAAATAGTTTAAAGTAAATGAGTGTATGCAGCACTGAGTTCTTCATATTATGACACTTTGAGCTCAGTTTGTCAATCCGAAAGCGTTTAGTTTACCGTTAGGTAACTGTTTGGGAGAATTTATTTTGCGATGTCAAACTCCATGTATGTAGGCCTAACTGGCCTAGATGTTTGATTTCACTAAAATTTACAATTGTAGACCTAGGTAGTAGAGCTACAGTACTGGCCTTAATGTGTTACTAATAAGTAGTATTACTGTAAATGGAAATTTGTTTGACATTTCATTTTTGGGTCTGTTTTTTGACGTCGATTTGCAGTTTATATTACTTCAGTGCACATTATGGGGCATGAGTTTTGTGTTCCATGTGCTTTGATCCAGTGACCGGGGTAATAATGTAAAGCGCATAGAGGTTAGTCTACAATATGCTCTATATAAGTCGACATTATTAATATTAATCATTGACTTTCACCAAACATGATATATATTGTAAAGAAAAACAGACTTTTGTTTAAAGGCAATATGAAAATTATTTTATTATGTTGACATTGAACAGAGAATGTTTATAATTCTAAGCCTATTTTAATCAACTCAATACTGATTCAGAGTTTTCACATCAATTTTCTTCATTTTTTTAAATTTTTCTTCCCTCGGTGCTAAGTCAAATACTGTAGGTATTTGAATAAAAATATTTCGTTTTAGGAAAAAAAAATTACCGAATGTTTTTAATAAATAACGAAGTTCGATCAACACTGCTTCGCTTCCTCCTTGAAATTAACACTGAGTAAACCAAGGAAAAAGTGAGTGACTATCGAAAAAGCGGGTAAAAGGAGTATCAGTGGTTATTGAAAATTAAGAAATTGAACAGGTTGCATCTTATAAATATCTGTGACATATTACGATAACAAACTGATTCATGGGGAATTAGAGTGGATCATTTAGTCAAGAAACTTAATTTTAAGATGTTTTGCTTCTGATCAGGAAACTAATTCATTTATTAATAATAATATAGGCCTAATAATAATTTATTGAACTTACACTTTCCTTACAGTGGCACTCGTCAGTTGACGGTGGTGCGTTCAAAACCAACAATATTTCAAGAACGATATTGCATTTAAGTTAATACTAAAAAGCACAAGCACACTTCTTCAATGGTATTTGAAAGAACCTTCCTTTCCAAACTTAACTACAGAATCAATACAATAAAAAAATACAGTGATAAATACAGCACTGTATGCCAAAACATAAATACAGTAGGCATACATGCAGGATACATACATAAACACCAGTATACCGGTACACACCCATATTTTACGTACGTACATACACGCATAAATTATTACATGAGTAGCATAGCTGTCACGAAAGTTGAGAGCTATGCTACACGATGTGCCATCATGTCTGTTTTCATAAACACTGTATTTACATTTCTTTGATGATTTATATATAATTTAACAGTGTTGACGGCTATC